AAAAAGAAAGTATGACAATCAACCAAAAAATGACCCCCCCCAGATGTTTAAATTGTTGGACTTGGGACCTTAAAATGCCAAATGCAAAAAAAATTCAGGGGTAATTTAATTTCTCTGTGCGTGCGGGGGGGTATAATTTTGTTCATCCTTTTTGAAGCTTAATAACACCTGTGCTTTTTGTTGAAAATTTCTGAAATTTTGCAGGGAATTTATTTATTACAGGAATTGATGCTATTAAATTTTGGTAAGTAAAAGGTGAGTGGGTGGTGAGATAAAGGGGGTATGAGCTTGCGGATTTTTTCAAACGTTTTAAAATTCTAAATTTTCTGTTAATTGTCTTCGGAAAAAACCCGAAAAATTTGAACTAGATCGGATTTCGCCGATTGTATAACAACTAGCTGAGGAAGTTTACAGTTAGGTGTGAAGAATGCACCATCATTGTCAACAAAAGTCAATCACGTGACAGTTTTCCCATGCTAATGATATAAAAGCTTGAATCTCTGGAAGCTCAGGGCGTTTCATCATAGGAAGTTATACTTTGAGACAGTGCCCACCTCGACTCCTGAACCTACATACAGCGGACTTGATCCAGCTACAGAGAGAGGACACCGAAAGAAGACACGGAAGACACCACACCCTTCCATACAGACGACGTTCGCCAAACTCTCCCTTCCACCGAGAGGTATTTAGGGATCTAGAATTTGTAAAAGCACTCTCTCTCGAACTAGAAATTAGGTCAGCAACATAGCTACAAAATTAGTCGCCATATTCTGTAAATAATTTAATATAATCGCATTTAACCTTAGTAGTAAGTTCACCTCTTGTAGAGTTAGATTTAGTTATTCAATGAATGCTTTATTTTGTTAACCTGTCTCCTGTCACTTAAGGACGCCTGCCGACTTACCGATGCACTTCCCACTCGATTTGCCTTCCTAGCCATCCAATGACCCCAAGATCGGGTTTTATCAACCTGTTGCCGATTAAGTGGTCAGTAGGAGATTAATCCCTGACCCATGGCTTATCTCACAGGGGGTCATGTGTATCTCCAGTTGGGTCAGACTTAATGATGATGTTACTCATTATTAGTATTTACAAGTTTTCTATTTTTTATAAAACCCTACCCTCAAAATTAAGCTTTTTGTCATTTTATAATAGTTAAAAATATAAAAAGTTTTTTAAACAAAATATCCTAACTTTCCTGGCACCACCAAATGCTGCCAGGAAAGTTAAGCAACTTGTTGCTGGATTTTTTAAAATTAATTTTCTATTAGTAATATGAATATAATGTTTTCTTTTATCATTGTTCTTAACTAAAGTGGAGCTAAAATACATAACATTCTTGCCTAAATTATCAGAATCTGAAAAACTAGACTTTTTAAAAACAATATTTTACCAACAAACTTGAAAATCTTAGAAATTTTCCTTCTAAAAATTACTGATAAAAGCTTAAATTTTAGCAATAAATTATACAAAAGTTAGCATAATGAATTCTCATACATAACTTATTACTAATCTATCTTGAGCCAAAACTTTACTCACATTATTATTAAAAGCAGTTTCTAATTATTTTACAGAAACAATTAAAACTCTAGATATAGAACTTAATTATTTCTATAAATCAAAATTTGTTTAATTCTGTAAATTAATCAGCTTTCCAATACAAAGGTACTGTTAACATTTCTTTTCCTACACTTTTATTTCATCTATAAAATCTAGTAAAAAAGTTTTCTGAATAAAATCAAAACAAAATTTTTATTTTATGCAAATAATTCAATAATAATAATAATTTTTTATAAAATTTACTAAAACATGTTTTAATTTGGATCAAATAATTATTTGATTATATTACTATCAGTAAATTAAAACTAAAACATTTAAAATGTTCAAAAATAAATGGATTATTAAAAGTAATAAAATNACGGGATGTTATAAAAAATTATTATTAAAAAGTCATGATTTTATATTTTTAAGAATGTTTCTAATGTGCTTAACGTGAATTTAATAGGAAAAATAATGATTTTTGATGATTTCATGAATTTGAAAGGTTTTAATGTGTGTTACAATCCTTACAAACATGGTTTACATGTAAAATTTGTAGTATCAATTGTTACTGAGTTGTGAGACACAAAACATATGCCAAGAATCACACTGCACGCGTTGTATCCACAAGACTGTGTCTGTTTCTTGTTGGTCATCAGATTTGTTACACGTACTACAGTGTTGTTGTAACATGGGCAATGTTTAAGGCCCTCTCCCTTGTCACCAAGAACCTCCGCAGGTTCAAAGGGAATATCGACTTTNAATTTGAAAGGTTTTAATGTGTGTTACAATCCTTACAAACATAGCTTACATATAAAATTTGTAGTATCAATTGTTACTGAGACACAAAACGTATGATGCCAAGAATCACACTGCACGCATTGTATCCATTGAGACTGTGTCTGTTTCTTGTTGGTCATCAGATTTGTTACATGTACTACAGTGTTGTTGTAATGTCCTTTGTCAATGAAAATGAGTGTTCGAAGTTTATTAAAAAGAATTATGTAATTGTTAGAAAGACCTGTCCAAGATTAGACTGTCAACTAAGATGTGTTTATGCAAAGTTTGTATACATGATTTTAGCTGGTCTTGTAGTGATTTGTTGTGTGTAAAAACAATTTGTAAACATATACACTACTTGAAAATTGAATACAATGGAAATAAGTACTGGAGAAAATAGTGGTGACTATAACTTTGAAGGCAGTAATGACAAAGTAATAGTATCACTTGAATGCGGACAGTCAACAACTGAAATTGGAAGTGAGAGATTGAAGCTGAATGATGATGCAATGCAAACTTCAAGTACTGAAACAGAAATGCAAAAAGAAATTTTCAAACAAGTTCTGGAAGCCAGATCAATTCATGAAACAGACATTAAATGAAAGGTTTTTGCTACAATACAAAATTTACTTAAAGAAATTCAAAACTGCAATGAGAACATAATTTTGTAATAAGATCAAACAGGGTATAAGATGGCCTATTAACTAGGCTGCTAACTAAGTTAACAGACAAATTATCTCAAATTCTGCCAGTGTTTCAAGAAGACCAATTAGAAAAAATGACGAAAATACATTAAAAATAAGGAAAGTAACCTCTAATGAAAAATTTCAGTATCAAATACAATTGGACTGAAAAAGCAGGCAAAAACAAACACATTTACACATTTCCCCAAATGAAATAAAAAGAATTCAAAGGTAACTAAGAGAATTACAACAACACTGTAGTACGTGTAACAAATCTGATGACCAACAAGAAACAGACACAGTCTCAATGGATACAATGCGTGAAGTGTGATTCTTGGCATCATATGTTTTGTGTCTTAGTAACAATTGATACTACAGATTTTATATGTAAGCTATGTTTGTAAGGATTGTAACACACATTAAAACCTTTCAAATTCATGAAATCATCAAAAATCATTATTTTTCCTATTAAATTCACATTAAGCACATTAGAAACTTTCTTCAAAATATAAAATCATGATTTTTTTATAATAATTTTTTATAACATCACTTTTTTATTTATATAATTTTTTTCATTTTCATATTTATAAATATTAATTTTATAATTTTTAAAACATGAAAAAATAAATATGAATGTGAAACTTATAATTTATAAATATGAAACTACTAGTAAACACATGTGTGTCTGCATAATGAATGTGACCAATAGGAGTGCAACAGGATCTCAGGCTCTAGTCGCTTGTGTTTTTTTAATATTTAAAAAAAATTAAACCTCTTTACAAAATAAAAATCAGAATTTAATCACTTTAAATTATATTATATATCTTTTTAGTAACAAAGATTTTAATTATTCAATTTTTTAAAATTTCTTTTAAACTCTTTCTGCCCATGGACACTAAGAGCAACTTTTTTCATACATATTACAGATTCAGCTAGATTCACTATTAGCCTGATTAAACCCATGGCAAGCCTGACAATCCAGACAAAACCCACAAAAATCAATCTGGAATTGAATCCAGATCTCCCAGAGCAGCAGAGTAACCTCTTTTCAACTTAACCAGCCAGTCATTAGTTTTGTAACTCGTTAGTTTACGAATATCAGCTTAGACAGAGATACTATCTAAAAGATCAACACCAAGCACATTTCCTGACAGAGCTCCCAAATACGGCAGAATAAGCGAGCCGACATCATCAGCTAGCACATTCAACCGTATTACCACCACATTCACAACCAAGGATCAAGAATCAGAGTTAAGTTATTCACCACCGTTCACATTAATTTTGTTACACCAATACTTATTGGATAACTTCCAATTCTCGATCTTCAACCATAAATATGAGCATTTAAGCCATTTCACCAAGCAACATGCCAGTTATTCAAAAATGCTTTAAAATGTTAAAATAAGATAATTTGAATAATGTTATAATTACTTTTTAGCAAATGAATAAATAAATAAATTTCACAATTTTTTTAATAAAATTCTAAAAACTAATTAACTAGTTAAGGAGCTAATTATCTAATTATTTTCTAATAAATAATATTGAGCATCAATATAATTACATGCAAATCAAAATATCTAAAAGTTAACAACTTAAAGGCAAGATTCTAGGACCGTGTGAGGGGAAACCCCAATGTGTGTTCATAATCTACAGTTAGGCTTAATATTAAAAATATAAATATCTTTTTTTTAAAAACAAAACTTAATGCAATTTACTTGTAACCGAAAAATTGAGTTTCCTAATAAATTGTAATTAATAAATGAAGTAATTATATAGTTCTAATATATTTAATTACGAAAATTGAATGTAATTTACCTTTTAGCCTAGTAGCACTTNGATTTTCCAAATTGTAACTTAGCTTAGTCTGCCTTAGAGCCTACCTTTAAATAACCTATGTCTTTATTGCAAATACAGAAATAACAAAACTATACAATGTTAAACTGAGAAGATGCAAAGCAGCCTACCTTGTCTGGCTGTGCAAAACTGTGTATAACTTACTTTGCTTGCTTTGCATAAGCACTGTCCATAAATTCTGTGCACCAGAGATTTTTTAGTTAAGTGCAGATTTACATAAGTAAGATTTATATAAGTAGAGGTCTGTCTGTATAATAATAAATAAATAATAATATGAAAATCATTTTGCTTTTTTAAAATATATAATAATAAATATACCTGAAATATATCACAAACTTTTGCTAAAACAACAGTAATTGGAGCTAAGATTATTATCACAATTAGTCCTGCTAAAGTAGCAATTCCAAGATATTGCCAAACAAAATATATACCAATTGTCAATGTTAAAGGAACAGACCATAACTGACTAAAGTACATAGTAAACTCAAATAATTCAATAACATCAACTGACATCATATTGACAATATCACCAGCTGGATATTCTTTCCTAGAAACTGGGCTAAGATGAAATACCTGAAATATTCATCAAGAAATAAAAATTAACATTAATCACAAGCAATATTTACATAAATATTTTACATACATATGTATTATGTGAAAAAATTTTTAATTTGCAAATATTTATTTCATTACAAATATTATTTAAATCCAAGGAATTTATAATTAAATTAGAGAACCAAATCATCATAAAATTTTTCATCATCATTATAACAATCATTTTTACTTAAAGTCCTCCACTCTGAACAATTAAAAACATGTCTTTCATTTATATCATACTCAAATATATTCTATAATTAATACATTGAATAAAGATATTTAAAGAAAAAATATATATATTGAAATTAACTTAAGTCACGCAGTATGAGTGTAACATACTGCGTGACACAAAAGGTGGGGTTACACAAGTTAGGGTTAAGTACCAGGTCTGGACTTTATGGGAACAAAATATAAAAATCAAAACACTTATAAGTACAAATCCACAATAAATATTTATTAAATTGATCAGTAGTATATAAACAAAACAACAACAACAATTAATTATAACTAGAGTTAGAGTATATATTTCAATTACTCAAAAAGTCGACAAAATAAACAATTAAAGGAATACTTTCATTATATATATCAAATTAAATCAGATCAAATCAAAAATAAATTCAAATCTCAATCAAAAAAAGAATACTGAAAGTATACGTTTCCTATGTTGATCACTTATTAAGAATGCCAGAGAAGTTTCTACAACAGTTGCTGTTGGGAGCTACACCACACTGCTGGATGGATGTATTATCTTTTATCTGGTTCTCGGTGTAGCTCTGCACTGCCCTATTTACATATGTGCATCATGGGATCAGTCACCGATGCATATTAGTATCTTTTGCCTTTCTTTTTGAAATTTAGTACATTGAGGGTTTATTAGGAGTTTCCATCCTAAAAATAAGACCCCAAAAAGAAAATTAAATTAAAATAACATCCAAAACATAAAATAATGACTGCACTTCAACTCCTTACAAGATATTCCAGATATTAATTGGTTTTTAATGTCTTACTAATTTCCTATTCCATAAATCTTGAAAGATAAACAATGTATATGAGCAAATTTTCTGTACACAAATGGTTAATGCTTGAGAATTAGTTTTGCAATATTAGTAGTTTCATTTTTATCAAATTCTTCAAACAACTTACAGCAGCAAACAAATTCATGAGATATCATCAAATCCTATTCATTCAATCAGGCTGGAATTGTAAGATGGAATTACATGATTTTTGCATGATTCAGATCTTCTACATTGCTTATTGGCGAAGACATAACCATAGCCTGAAAATGTCCTTTAAAAATAATGATAATGATGTTTGCTTTTTAAGCGAGTGTTTATATTACTGGTTGTTTGGTTATTGAGTTAGGAGTTTTATTAATATTAACCAGTAAACTGTTGCCTTTTGTGAAGTAAACAGTTTAGAGTAAGCTTCTAAACAAAGAATACAATCTCACATTAGCAATAATATGTTAAATTTTACAACTGTTATAATTAAATCACATATCTATATTAAGTAATGACTACTGTTAAAAATATGCAAAAACTGGCTATTCAACCCAATATAACCTTTAATTATTAACCATAGTACCTGAGAAGTGTGTGGAAGCAACAAAGTCTAAGAGGATGCTTATAATATTGATGATTGAAATAAAAAAAGAAATTATTGCAAAGCATGAAAGCAGTACACATGTGGAGGATCTGGCAGCCATGTTTAAGATGCTAAAGTCAATGATGTATGACCAATAAATGCAATTTTCATTTTATTATACAATATTTACATATTTTATTTATTGTTTTATGTTTTTATTAAGATGTTTAATTGTGTTATTTTTGCCTTAAATTATGTGTATTTGCTATTCTAATTTTATTGAAATGGATATTGTTTAGGGTTTGTAATGAATTAAATCACCTTCTGTTATTTCTAATGGAAAAAATTGATTTGGACTTCAAATAACTCCAAGTTTGAATGGCCTCCTGGAATGAATTAAATTCAAAGTATGAAGAACCACTATACCATATTTATCTGAATATAAAGTGGACTTTTTTTAATCAACTTTGGCACTGTAAAAATGCTGTGTGCCTTACATTTGGAAATTTTTCCACAACTTTTTTGGAGATGTGACATGTGCTTAGGCATTTCTGTCCACTGTTATTTCAAATATTCTATCACCAGCCTCCAGAGAAGAATTTTTGGGCCATTACTTCTTAATTACCAAAATTCAACTAAATATGTTGTCAAATAATTTTTGATCAACATATGAAGTGCACTGAAAGCCAAAAATACTTGCTTAAGTTCAATTTTGTCACAAGTTGAGTATTGAGCCATACCTGTGTAAAGTACTAAGTTATTTTTATGCCTTTTACAACAATTAGTGACACGACTTTGTGCCGGAAATAGCCGTTACCTAATGGGTACTTTACGCAGATTTGCGTTAATATGCCAGGCCTGGACTTTAAGTGTACACCGAAAGAAATAATGACAAAGTTAGTCAAAAAACAATCCAATATTTAATAATAATTCTAATAACGACTATGTACAAAAATTAGTAACAATCAACAACAAATTTATTCAAAGAAAAAATCAATAAGAATCAACTCGACAAAACTCAANCTTTATAACATTAATTCATTTCACATAAATATATCATTTATATGCTTAAGAAGAAATTAGTATGTAATTAATAATCACAGTCCCCTCTTAAACATACTTTAATAAATTGAATGACATCATACCTGATAAATTTAAACAGTTAATTTAAGTTTTTATAGACAAAAGACAATTCAGTGGGTAATGTTTAATATTTTTATCTGTAAAAAAATTTATTCTTGTTATCATGTATAATCCATGAGTTTCTGCCAAAAACTATGCAAGAAGTTTATTTACAAAAGCTAACTAGTTGCTGACAAAATTCATTATAAGTAGTCCAAGCCAGAGGACTTGGATTTGGTTCTTGGTGAGATTAACAGGGAGTTCAGCTAATAGTCCATCTTCTATTAAAAACTGTACAACCTCATGTCATTCTGATAATTCAAGATTTTTCCTAAAATAGTCTCAACATTACCCTTTACGAGAGCAGAACCAAGATGAGTATTTGAGATGGCACTTTGTAATATACTGGGCAATTTAGAAGTCCTTCAATATAGCAGTCATTTGCAGTGCTAAGTATGGTTTTTTTTGTTTTTGCTTATGCATGCATGTATTTATTATTAATGATATGTGTTTATTTACATACCTTTGACATAATAGCCATTTGCACTGTATGTCAACGGACCTCTAGAGCAAATGATATGCAAACACAAATTCATCTAATTTTATTAATATTTTAAAAATTTATAATGTAAGACATGGCATTGTAGTTGTGCTAGTAAACCAAATTTATTAGAGCTTATTTTATTAAATCTCTAAATGTGTATCTAATAAAACCTAAATTAATGTTTTTATACTTTCTGAAATTTCTGTAAAAACCAATTTTTACTTATTTTTAAAACACATATTCTAAGTTAGTTAGACTTAGTCTAATAAATAAATCCAATGGTGACTCAATATAATGCAGACCATGGGGTCTAAAATATTTGATCATGTTATAAGAAAAAACACTTTCTGCATATATGGTACAAAAAACCATATCAAGTGAGTGCCATCATTTATCAATTTAGTATTTACTTACTCTACTCAGATATCCTCTACCATCCATTTTGTTTCAGCTTTTTCTGTAACTAGATATCCATGGATTAAGCTATGTTTACATGCTGGACAGTACAAAATATAAGCCATAAAAATATTGCAAATTAAGCCAATTGATTTTGAACTGTGCTGTTAACTGCCAATTTAATCCAATAGCTTGCTATATAATGAAATAAAAGCAGTACAAGTGCTCCTCACTTAACAACCAAGTTCTGTTCCTACAACTAGGCCATTAAGCAAATGGATCAATAAATGAGGAGCTTAATTGTTTTATTTACTGTTGATAAAGAAATGAACTGTAGGAAAATCTAACTTAATAACTTTGCTTTAATTTTCATTTCTTACATATTACAGAATATAAAAATACAATTGGCAAAAATTTTTAAATGCTATACCAAAAATATTAAAGTTCATTTGTTTAAAAAAGATTTCAGATTAATATTTTAGTCATCAAATCCTTCAACATATGATAAAAGTTCCAAACATCAGTGTCATCTTCGAAGTTATCAGCACAGTAATCAAAAGCTATAGGGAGCTAGGTTAAGGGAGATGACTGCAAACAAATGGAAGTACTTATAGGGATAGAAGTCCTGAGTATAGCTTTCAAGAAGAATCTCATTAGTGTAATCTGCTTTGTAATTTTCCTTTTTTCTTCATAAATTTTATGACAGCATCATAAAGGTTCATTCACTTGCCATTTTACTTTCATGAATTATTCAACATTCAAATCCATACTTTCTAGTTCTAATACAGCCATATTCAATTTCAAGAACACACCAGCTAACCCCTTTACAATGAACTTCTCTTGTACTTCTGTGAGATCCAAATAGCCCCTGGGTCTAAATAATAATTTAAAAATAAAGTTAAATTTTTGTAGAAAAATATTCTTTCATTTTGGTGAGAAATTAACAGTTTTCTAACGTGGGAAAACTGATTAAACAGTTGCTTCCTTTAACGGAAACTGAAGCATCCTTTGTTTTTCCCTTATCTGTTACAAATCTCACCATCATGAGAATTGTCGACCCCTCTTTTATTCCCTTTTTCATCCGTTCACGTGAAAGAATCCAAGTATGATGATTGGTCGTAAATCAAGAGATATAGTCAAGGTTTAGCAGAATTCGGGGAGTACGTCCGCAGATCTGGAAGTGGAAAGAAGTTCCCATATTGTCTCCTTGTCTGGCGTACTCCCTTAGTTCGGAGTACGCCAGAAGATCCCAAGAAGGGAAGACGTAGTCCATTCAAGCTCCTAAGGCCAACGTCCTTAGTCCGGAGCCGTATCGTATCTAGAAGGCAACGTCCATTAGACAAAATTATTCCATGATAAATTGAGTTAGTTAGGAAAATAGAAGATATGTTTTATATTGTGCCTATCAAGACCTCTCCATGAACAGAACTCTGAGAAATAGAGGAACGAAGTAAAATCCACAAATCAAGAAGAAGATAAAATCAACTAAAGAGGTTGTATGTTTATCATGAATTTGTGAGCTCTCTCTCTCGGCGCGTTTAATTTGATTTATTCGTTGTTTCAATCGATTGTCTTTGAATATTTAATTATTTCCATTTTTCTTTGTATGATTTTGTTTATTATAGTTATTAAATTTTCTTTATTGGTTAAAGAAATGTCTCTTGTTAACTCTCTGAATCAAATCTATATCATATCCACACGCGTGTTTATCCGCGTAACGATAAATTGATAAACTGGTGTTGGGAAGTCCTGACGAGGAAGAAGAAGAATTTGCCATCCCCAACTTCCGCTCTAAATTTATTTGAACTGTAAGTCCCTCCAAACTCGAATTTCCTTAGATTGGGAAAAGCCATTCTTTTGGACGACCAAGAACTAGTTTCACCAACTAGCGCCGATTAAGTGGTACTAACTATCCTAGCGGAGTAGTAACCCCGGCTAGTCTCACACTTCTATTCTTTCTTATTCATCTTCCAAGTGCTGTTACACTGCTACACCCTTCCTTTGATTCTTGGTGTTTCCTCCAGGTGAAGTCATGCTATTTCTTTTTGCTGACATCTTATACTATGCGATGCACAATAAAATATAAATTTATAAACAAAATATGAAGTTTCAAAGATTGTAAATGTTTCATATAGTATATACTGACTGACTGCAGGTATGAGACTAATACTAAGAAAGGGGATTCCCTGAAATGGAAAGCTGGTCATTAATCTGAGCACTCATTAAGTGAGGGGTGGCTGTAGATTCTAAAAAGTCTCAACAATAAACTGAGGTCCACAGACTATATGCATTGTAAGTGGAGTTGTGTTCTATCAAGGCAATAAAAAGTGCTTTGAAACTGAAATGCCCTCTAGCTACAAATTGAATTCAAGTTCTAAGATGTCACTGTAAATGTTTTCTGAACTTTAATTTCTCAAGAACTGTTAATCAAAATTAGTGAAATTATGTATAACAGATTTCAAGTTATATTGTTAATACATTTTACGATTGTTATCAAAATTAGTTTGTGCATATGAAATTCTAATCATAATATCTACTTTTTGGTTAGCTTGAGCATATCTTGAGTTGTAATATGTTGAATTCAAAATGCTAAAGAAGTATCTGTTAGTATTTCAAACTATATCTCAAAAATTTTTTAAAAATTCAGAATATTTTTACAGGATTATAGGACTGAAAAGCAGTGCGTTATTTTTTCAATAAAACTACCAGCATTTCAACTGTTTATCATAGTATGTAGCAAGCTTGTTAATCCTGATCTCAAAAACTAAAATTCCTGTTGTTGTTGCTACAAGCTTTTACTTCAAAACCTTAAATTCAGAAGAAAAAGATCTAGGCTGTATAGGAATGACAAAGAACCTCCCATCCACTCATTAAAGTTTTCATCACTCATATTTTCTCATCCACTTGCAAATATCTGATACCACTCTAACACTTTAATGAGACATGATATAGTACCTATACACCTTGAGCTCACAATAGATTTCAGCAGATAAAACCTTTTCACCCCACAAAAATTTAGTAATTATTTTATAACAATAATAATAATAATAATGTATATTATTATAAAATAGTAATATAATAAATTTTTAAAACATAAACATAACATTTATATATATATATAGTGTGTGTATGTGTGTGTGTTTCAACAAAATAAGGAAAGTGGTTGACATAAATTGGAAAACCGAAGCATTGGACAGGGAAAAATGAAAAAAATTAGAGAAGATCTTTATCCAGCTGTGGATTGACAATGGTTAATTATGACAATGATTATATATATGTTTATGTTTTAAAAATTTATTAACCAGATTCATTTTACTGCAAATTTTATTTCTTACCTTAATAAGACGAGATAATAAATCAGGAAGTAAACCCATGGGAAGTCGCAGAATATTAAACAGATTAAGCGATACAAAAACTATTTTTGTATCAAGAATATGATTTTTATCCATTAAAACATAAGTACCAAAACAAGCAATTGATATCTATAAAATAAAAAATAATTTTCATATAATAATTTCAATGATATCTACACAACAAATATTAAATAAAAATAAATTCATATTCAAAATTTTCTTATATTATATTAATTCATAATTTGTATACTTATATTAAACAAAATTTGTTCAAAGATTCAAAAATGAAAAAAGTCACAAAGTCACAGAAAGACAAATAATATAAAATTTTAATTCATATTTTTCAAAGTACAGTAAAACCTTTAAATCTCAAATTTGAGGAAACAGGAAAAAAAAAAAAAAAAAGGCCAGTTTGAATTATGGACAATTCTACATATAGTGGTATATGATAAATAGAAAAATTTTTATTCAGACACTAAGTACAAATCAGTAGAATAAGGACTGTAATTCTCTAATATACAAGGGAGTCCAATATTAAATGTACAGGCCAAAATTACACTAACATTTATAATTTTAAAAAATATTTAATACATTCCACAAAAACTACATATTTTTGTTTATTTCTTGACATACTTGCCATAAATGTTAAGACATTTATCCCAGCATGACACTACTTTAAACATCCCTTCATGGTTGTGAAGTTGCTTGTAGTAGTCCAGAACAGTATCTTCCAATTCCTCCTGATCTGCAAAATAAATGAAAATCCAATAGTGGGCTAAATTTGGACTATATGGGGGATGTTGCAGGACCTCCCAATTCTGCTGTGACAACCATAGTTTGGTTTGATTTGACATGTGGAATATAGTCTAAATTTAGCCCACCTTTGGATTTTCATTTATTCAGACCTTTAAAGAAATTTTTGGTGGGGAAACACTTTGCAGATCAAGAGGAATTGGAAGATACTGTTCTGGACTACTTCAAGCAACAGTACCATGAACAGATGTTTAAAGCAGTGTTTCTTAACAGGGAGCCGCGGCCCCCTGGGGGTCCATAAGAAGTTTTCCGGGGGCCGCCAAATTATGCAAAATTTCCTTCAGAATATAATAAAAAGAAAATTGATATATAACCGAATATCATATTGAAAAGCGAAATAAGAAAGATAAAGTTTTCGTATTTAGTTTTTTTTATTTATTTCTTATTTCTTCCTACTTACAACTTTGTTAGTACAGAAGAAATAAATGCAAATATGCTACTTACATTGCAGTATTTACTTCTTTTATTCCAAAGTAATTCTAAGAAACTATTAATGCTTGGAATTTTAAAAATAAAGCAATAATAAAAAAATCAATTTATTATAGATAATTTAACAAATATAAATTATTATTTAAAAAAATGGGGGTCACAAAAAAATTATGAAATATTTGGTGGGCCGCGAGTATAAAAAGGTTAAGAACCACTGGTTTAAAGTAATATCACATTGGGATAAATGTCTCAATGTTTACGGAGAGTATATTGCTAAACAAGTAAAATGGCAAAACTGTATTTGGGACAAGACTACATCTCGGAGATGGAATCACTTTGATGCTCAAAGCAGGTCTCGTTCTCATTCTCCTATCTTCTTTGATATCGCTGCTTTTGGGTGTGATTGTTCAAACTTCACCAGCTATGACCATGAGATCGTCCATGATGCATCTTTGATGAAATTAACCTATCTAATTTTAAAATTTCTCTCCATTGCGTGTCGGCCCAGGTTCAATTTTGTCGATGAATAATGAAAAGTTCCCATTTTTGAAAAAATAATCGTGGCTATTGTATTGTCCAAAATTATTTTTTTATTTTGCACAAACAATATACAGTTTAACCCAATTATAATTCATTGACAACGACAACCCTAATATAACGTCAAATTTTTATCGGTCCTATGATTTTACTATACTAGATAATGTTAAAAAAAAACCCACTTGTAACAACATAAAACCATTTTAATGTCATATTTGAAGCACTCCCAAATTTACAAAATTAGATTACAAATTTTATTTAACATAGAAGAAACTACGTGTTCGGTCCTAAGGTCAGAGTTCACTTCTTAGAATGACTGTGGGTGGTACTCTCCCCTACCTGACTTTGGTGGGGTGAGGTGGCTGTTTTGCCTGTTGGTAGAAGAGAGTCGCTATTTTGGATTTTATTTTGACTCGATTCTCGGTCAACTGACTACCTACGAGTCTGGATTTTTTTATGCGCAAATGATTTGGGCACCTAATACTCTGTGAGGATCCGAATCCAGACTTTCAGTATATTTATATCATTACATCATAATATCACATCGTAGCTATACTTTCGTTAAATAACTGTCAACTTTTACACCTGGGAGCTAAATATCTGTTAAGTTCTCAGGCCTAATAACCATGCTTTCTCATCACCTTTCGACTTAATTTCTCAATTTCAACAGTACAACATTAAAACAGAACAACAGAGTGACGCAGTCATCGCCCCGTCCTTGAAGAGATCAGTCTCAAGTTCTGTATCTTTTTCCATGTGCGTTGTGCTTTTCACTGGACCACCAGACTTATTTAAGTGCCTATTCTCTAGATTAACATCGACCCAAAATACTTGATTGCCTAACTGGACTAACTTCGTTGTCAAGACCTACTAGCAACTCACTAAAACTCAAGGTATTTATCACCATGCGCAACTTCTGTAAACTCTCTCTCTCTTGAGAACTGCGGAACTATAACTGAAATCTTAGATCCATTTTAATGTCTATTATATATATATATATATATATCTAATATCAATTGTAGCAAAGATCTCTGACAGCTTGCATATTTAAAATTGATATATCCTGTATGGCCTATAGTTACCAATTAAATAGTTGTTACGTTAACCCGTCTCTGAGTAAGTTACTTCCAGTGTGCTGTCTCTCCCTCCATCCCGAATCTGTTCATTCACACACGTGATCATTCACACGAGAATACAATGGTTTCTGTGTCTGTTCGTAAAGACACAGTGGTGTCAGTCCTGACGAAACTTGTCATTGCGATCTTCGCTGACGTGGTGCCGAAGTATAGGGAGGCCCTTCGGCATTGTCACAACTCTGTGCCAAATATCAACTCTCTACATGTACTCCTTCATACCTCTATGCTGGTAAGAATATCAGGCAGTACGATTTTATAAACAAGACATACTCTTGTCAAAAAAGTGGATCTTATAAGTGAAAAATATGGTAATGTTACAGTATTACAGTAGCTACAAAATTTAGAAGTATGAAAATTTAAAAATTGTAAAAAATAATATTATATGTGAAAAACTTTAAAAAGTAAGTCAACCAAGTTACTTAAGAAGCACACCAAAAAACTTACAATTATCTTTCTGCTGAAGATGCATTACATTTTCAACATAAAAATATTCTTAATCTGAGGTCTTATACATAAAAAATAAAAATGTACTAATATATGATTCATCCAATGGACTGATTATGTTAATTAGATATATAATTTACTTTACAAAAATTATTAATATTTATAAATATGACAAATGATATTATATAAGACAAGTCAAATGTACAAAAATAAATAAAAATGCATATAATTCTTACTAAAGTAGGAGCTAAATTCCATAAAAATGAAAATGTTGAATCAATATAATAATATTTTCTTAAAAATGATATTTCTCTTTTACGTATATCATTCACTTTTTTCATAAAAGGCAATTCCCAAGCATATAGTTTCAAAATCTGAAAAAAAAAATTGTTTTAATTTTAAATCTTATTATAATGTATTTAAAAATTTTTAAATTTGTTTCTACATAAAAACACTATATTTAATGGAACATATATTAATTTAAATTAATTAATATTTTCTTATTATGTGAGAAGGAACAAATTGTTTTTGCTATTAACAAGATTCCTACTTTTTAATTCAGATTTTTCATATCCCAATTTGAATAATTTGAAGAAACTTTTGATATTGTCAAAAATTTCTTCAAAATACAAACATTAAATAACAAAATTTTTTATATTATTTTATTTTAAACAATTTAATTAAATATTTGTAAATTATAATTGTTAATGATAATTTTTCAGAATAAGATTAAATTATTTTTAGTATAAAATTATATTATAATTCAAATAAAACTATGACTTTATAAAATTCTAATTTTTGCACTACCTTCATGCCATTTAAAATTTCATTCATAACTCTAATTCTATCATCTTTCAAGTCCATTTGTTTTTGCTAAAATAAAAAATATATATATTAAATGTTTTTATTTTAAATTTTCAATAAAAAATAGTACAGACAGTCCTCAAGTTATGTAAATAGAATGGTCCATAACTTATTACATAAATCAAAATGTTACATATATAAGATTTTCCAAATTGTAACTTAGCTTAGTCTGCCTTAGAGCCTACCTTTAAATAACCTATGTCTTTATTGCAAATACAGAAATAACAAAACTATACAATGTTAAACTGAGAAGATGCAAAGCAGCCTACCTTGTCTGGCTGTGCAAAACTGTGTATAACTTACTTTGCTTGCTTTGCATAAGCACTGTCCATAAATTCTGTGCACCAGAGATTTTTTAGTTAAGTGCAGATTTACATAAGTAAGATTTATATAAGTAGAGGTCTGTCTGTATAATAATAAATAAATAATAATATGAAAATCATTTTGCTTTTTTAAAATATATAATAATAAATATACCTGAAATATATCACAAACTTTTGCTAAAACAACAGTAATTGGAGCTAAGATTATTATCACAATTAGTCCTGCTAAAGTAGCAATTCCAAGATATTGCCAAACAAAATATATACCAATTGTCAATGTTAAAGGAACAGACCATAACTGACTAAAGTACATAGTAAACTCAAATAATTCAATAACATCAACTGACATCATATTGACAATATCACCAGCTGGATATTCTTTCCTAGAAACTGGGCTAAGATGAAATACCTGAAATATTCATCAAGAAATAAAAATTAACATTAATCACAAGCAATATTTACATAAATATTTTACATACATATGTATTATGTGAAAAAATTTTTAATTTGCAAATATTTATTTCATTACAAATATTATTTAAATCCAAGGAATTTATAATTAAATTAGAGAACCAAATCATCATAAAATTTTTCATCATCATTATAACAATCATTTTTACTTAAAGTCCTCCACTCTGAACAATTAAAAACATGTCTTTCATTTATATCATACTCAAATATATTCTATAATTAATACATTGAATAAAGATATTTAAAGAAAAAATATATATATTGAAATTAACTTAAGTCACGCAGTATGAGTGTAACATACTGCGTGACACAAAAGGTGGGGTTACACAAGTTAGGGTTAAGTACCAGGTCTGGACTTTATGGGAACAAAATATAAAAATCAAAACACTTATAAGTACAAATCCACAATAAATATTTATTAAATTGATCAGTAGTATATAAACAAAACAACAACAACAATTAATTATAACTAGAGTTAGAGTATATATTTCAATTACTCAAAAAGTCGACAAAATAAACAATTAAAGGAATACTTTCATTATATATATCAAATTAAATCAGATCAAATCAAAAATAAATTCAAATCTCAATCAAAAAAAGAATACTGAAAGTATACGTTTCCTATGTTGATCACTTATTAAGAATGCCAGAGAAGTTTCTACAACAGTTGCTGTTGGGAGCTACACCACACTGCTGGATGGATGTATTATCTTTTATCTGGTTCTCGGTGTAGCTCTGCACTGCCCTATTTACATATGTGCATCATGGGATCAGTCACCGATGCATATTAGTATCTTTTGCCTTTCTTTTTGAAATTTAGTACATTGAGGGTTTATTAGGAGTTTCCATCCTAAAAATAAGACCCCAAAAAGAAAATTAAATTAAAATAACATCCAAAACATAAAATAATGACTGCACTTCAACTCCTTACAAGATATTCCAGATATTAATTGGTTTTTAATGTCTTACTAATTTCCTATTCCATAAATCTTGAAAGATAAACAATGTATATGAGCAAATTTTCTGTACACAAATGGTTAATGCTTGAGAATTAGTTTTGCAATATTAGTAGTTTCATTTTTATCAAATTCTTCAAACAACTTACAGCAGCAAACAAATTCATGAGATATCATCAAATCCTATTCATTCAATCAGGCTGGAATTGTAAGATGGAATTACATGATTTTTGCATGATTCAGATCTTCTACATTGCTTATTGGCGAAGACATAACCATAGCCTGAAAATGTCCTTTAAAAATAATGATAATGATGTTTGCTTTTTAAGCGAGTGTTTATATTACTGGTTGTTTGGTTATTGAGTTAGGAGTTTTATTAATATTAACCAGTAAACTGTTGCCTTTTGTGAAGTAAACAGTTTAGAGTAAGCTTCTAAACAAAGAATACAATCTCACATTAGCAATAATATGTTAAATTTTACAACTGTTATAATTAAATCACATATCTATATTAAGTAATGACTACTGTTAAAAATATGCAAAAACTGGCTATTCAACCCAATATAACCTTTAATTATTAACCATAGTACCTGAGAAGTGTGTGGAAGCAACAAAGTCTAAGAGGATGCTTATAATATTGATGATTGAAATAAAAAAAGAAATTATTGCAAAGCATGAAAGCAGTACACATGTGGAGGATCTGGCAGCCATGTTTAAGATGCTAAAGTCAATGATGTATGACCAATAAATGCAATTTTCATTTTATTATACAATATTTACATATTTTATTTATTGTTTTATGTTTTTATTAAGATGTTTAATTGTGTTATTTTTGCCTTAAATTATGTGTATTTGCTATTCTAATTTTATTGAAATGGATATTGTTTAGGGTTTGTAATGAATTAAATCACCTTCTGTTATTTCTAATGGAAAAAATTGATTTGGACTTCAAATAACTCCAAGTTTGAATGGCCTCCTGGAATGAATTAAATTCAAAGTATGAAGAACCACTATACCATATTTATCTGAATATAAAGTGGACTTTTTTTAATCAACTTTGGCACTGTAAAAATGCTGTGTGCCTTACATTTGGAAATTTTTCCACAACTTTTTTGGAGATGTGACATGTGCTTAGGCATTTCTGTCCACTGTTATTTCAAATATTCTATCACCAGCCTCCAGAGAAGAATTTTTGGGCCATTACTTCTTAATTACCAAAATTCAACTAAATATGTTGTCAAATAATTTTTGATCAACATATGAAGTGCACTGAAAGCCAAAAATACTTGCTTAAGTTCAATTTTGTCACAAGTTGAGTATTGAGCCATACCTGTGTAAAGTACTAAGTTATTTTTATGCCTTTTACAACAATTAGTGACACGACTTTGTGCCGGAAATAGCCGTTACCTAATGGGTACTTTACGCAGATTTGCGTTAATATGCCAGGCCTGGACTTTAAGTGTACACCGAAAGAAATAATGACAAAGTTAGTCAAAAAACAATCCAATATTTAATAATAATTCTAATAACGACTATGTACAAAAATTAGTAACAATCAACAACAAATTTATTCAAAGAAAAAATCAATAAGAATCAACTCGACAAAACTCAAATCAATCTATTTGCTAACTTAAATCTTTGGAATTCGACAAAAAAAAATTCAAAGACTTAACTTATGTATAACAATTCTTATGAACTAAGGTCCTAATCGTCACCTCAATATACTAGGAACCTTTTTCCTCAACTCTCAAGACTTTCTCTAATCTTCGATCCACAAATCGAATAACTTCAAATCACCTTGGAACCATTTTATCGCTATTGGACACCTCTTGTTGTTCGCTGCTACGAAGCTCACCACGCTCATTGCTAACAGAAGCTCACCTTGGTCATCTTCACTTGAGGTTTGGACTTTATACTATGAGGTGACGTCACAATTCTGATTGAGATCACTCCCCTCATTTACATACTTATTTGCTAACAATAAACTTTTCCTTTCTGCCTGGCAGCCTATTTTCCGACAATACTCGCTAACCTTTTACATTATTCTTTTTGACACTTTTTGGGATGTTTTCTTCGTTACGGTTTAGCAAGTTCCTAAGTTGTGCTTGTGGGGCCTCCCCCCTCTTTTTCGATGCAGACTTACTTTTTTCCCACTCAGGAGCGCAAGTGTGCACAAGTTTTTTCTACGGCGCTTTTTTTTGTCAGCGAGTTGGTTTTCTTTTTTCTATTTTTAAGTTTCTAAGGTGAATGGTGAGGAAACCTTCATTCTAACAAAACATAAGCCCCAAACAAAATAGAATAAAAAGCAAAATAAAAATAACTAAAAATAATGCTCGGACTTGGTTCCTTACACCTGCACAAAGAAACAAGTAAACAGTTTTTAGGCAGAGCACCCTTGAGTCACTTGCCTTTAATCAATTTTAGCATAAACAATACAACATGGAATTGCAGAAGGTACCAGAAGTTCATTCTACACAAGCAAATTAAATTTTGTGCAGTGTTTGGAAGAGTTATGATGCATAATTTAAACTTATCACAAAATATGCAATTTTAAAACATTTTGTTCTGAAAACTGGCTAGAAAACTGGAAGGATTCTTATATCCAAAGAAATATTTTTTCCTAAAAATGGGTTCCAAAAATAGGGGTGTACCTTGTATTCAGATAAATCATAAAATACAATAAAAAAAAATTATTTTATAAAATACAGTAGTGTGTCGTTTATCCGAATCAATTGGGGACTGGGGTGGTTCGAATAACTTATTTTTTGGATAACGAATCATGTACGAAAAAATATATTAATTTATCCCATGTTGAAATTTCTCTCCGTTTCGTGTTGCTTCGCGTTGAATTTTCGTTGATGTTAAGCCTAACAAAGACTATTGTATCGTTAAAAATTATTTTTTTATTTTGTACAAACAAAATAAATTTATTGAAAAATATAAAAACAATAAAAAATTATACTTCAGATGTTAATTTAGTATCAAAAACGTAAAATATTTGAGTAGCCCGAGANAGAGACATTAAATATCATAAAGATAACCTTCGAATGGTACGACTTAATATTTTAATTTAAAAAAAAAAAAGTATATTTAACAAAGTAGTAAAAAGTATTTTTAAATCGTGTTCTCTCAGGCTTTTCTCCACTTCGAAATATGTATTAATTGATTGATGCGTTTGCATAACTTAATTTTTCTTTTTTATCTTTTTTAATTCCGAAATCTTTGTAAAGCAAAACATTTTTTTTATGAGTTGTCTGCAACAGACGCCATCTGGACTATCGATAACTCTTTCTGTAGTGTGTTATAAAACTAACTGAACCGAAAACATCAAAATTCTTTTTTATGCACCGTAGGATTTTTTTTTCTTTAAAATGATATACAACAGTTTCTGAAAGCTAAAGGAACGCTTTTAGTTTGCTAATGTGTATTGCATTATTCAAATTTATAAACAAATATTTTTTTTCTAAAAAATGTAAAAATGATATCATGATGTACGATCATAAATGATATCGTTTATATGCATTTTTTTTTCATCTTTATGAATCGATTTAACAATTGTTTTTAATTTAAATTTTGAAAACTGAATTGAGTATAATACTAGCAATCGATCAATAATCTTGAAAATACTCATGATCGATATAATGTATAAAATGTTTTCCCCTCAGTACCGCCGGAAGATCCTTTCTTGGTAATGGAAGGCAGAAGATTAGCTCATCAAGCAACTATAACAGTTCGTGAACCGACTCGTATAACTGTACAGTGCGTCGCAAGAGGTGCAGTTCCACCTGTACGACATATATACTGGTTATTAGGTGGCACGAATGTTACTTCAATCAGTGAACTGTTCGTAGAATTTACTCCGGGTGACGATGCGTATATCAGCCGAAGTGTAATTGCATTGAACGTAACGCGTAAACTTCATAGAAAAGAACTGATATGCCACGTACACCATGTTACTTGGTTAGAGTCAGCAGCCGTTAGTGCCTCTTTGATTGTCCTGTGTAAGTAATTTTGAAATTTTTAACAATTTATAATAAACTCGAGTGTAAAAAGTTTATTTTAAAATTCTTGAAATTTATTTCTGGAATGAAATCTATTTACTAATTTACATTGTATAAAATGCCGATTACAGCGATGTAAAAGCTACTCAACTAAACATCTGTTGTTTTTAAATTTACAACCACGTTTAGAATATAAATTTTAATATTGTGTTTAAAAACTTTACAATAAAATAATTTCAATATAGAATTTATCCAAAAATATGTTTATCATTCAAAGAGCAATATCCAACTGATAGGCCATACCAATTGGAGTGTGATGTTCAAATACATTCCATAATAAATACAAAATAAAACATAGTAAAAGATATTTTTAAATTTTAGTAATTTTAGTATATGTTAATCTCACATCTACTCTAACATGCAACTTGTAATCACATGCAATTTTTTCTTCACACAAGGCACATATAAGGTGATAATTTCATGCTAATTTTTCACATGTAATTATGCTGCATGTAACTTCTGCTTAAATTTGTCATGTACGAAAACCCTGTAATATCTTATCTATACATGCAGAGAAGACACATCATATGTTGTTTAGTTTATGAGATATTGTTTTTTTACAGAATAATATCCATGATAAGACTCCTATAGGGAGCTCTTCAAACTTTGCAATAGCTGCAAGGGTTAATGTGGAACAAGCTCAGCTAAAAATAAATGATGAGAAGGCTGAGGTATTTCTCAAAAGTCCAAAATTATATTTTTGTATTTTTCAGGCATGAAATAAAGCTGCAAAAACATTAAAATTGTTCATAATCATAGCATCCCAGACTCTTACCAAACAAGTGTCTAAGGCAGTGTTTTTCAACCGGGGTGCCACGGTGCCACGATTGGGGTGTCGCAAAGTTTAGGGCCTTTAGTCGTTTTCTTGGAAATTTACTTAAGTGTAGTTCAAGATAACTCATTGTCAGTTCTATTTTGCTACTAGATATCTAGTAAGCAAAGAAACGATGACTAATCGCATGTTAATGTAATGTTCAACACTATGTGTACGAACGAGTTCGCCCAAACCACATTACTTGGCCTTCACATTCCCAGTCCCAGTACCAGGCCAACCAGCAGAGAAGAACGACATGGACACTTGTGTCTTGAATATACTTTAAAAAGTGTTGCATTGCACTTTGAAAAGCGTGCATGTAAATGCATATTACAGTACTTTCATAGTATTCAAAAGCAATGATGACAAATAAGCAATTTATTATCATTTTTTTAATTTAATTTTTTTTAAATTGATATGAAAAAGATAAGAAAAAAGTAATGAAATAATTATTTTATATGTGCATCAAAATAGTATAAAAAACTTAACAAAAATTGTTTATCAATAAAATAATAATATAAAATGATGATATATTTGATAATAAAACTAGATTTAAAAAACAATAGAGAGACTATTATTTTACATGTAGGTATTTCGACAAAATTCAGTGGACTTAAATTTTGATTTTAAACACGTAGAAACGCTGTTTTTTTGCATTAAAATGCTACTTCAAATTGTCAATTTTTAAAAGTTTTCTTCCCGGGGAGGGACTCCCTCCCCGGACCCCACCCCAGCGTTGCGCGTAATATTCGTTTTCGCAAAAAGTTTATCTGGCCCATTAGCCCCCTTATTCAGATCCGCCGCTGGTCAAGGGTGTCACAATTTTTTATTTTTCAATCAGGGGTGCCACTCAATGAAAAAGGTTGAAAAACACTGGTCTAAGGTTATAGTAACTGCCATGTTATTATGTCATGCATAACTGACAAACATCCATGATGTCATGACTACCTCTTGTGGCAATCATGCACACCATTCATAACATCATTTTTGATGTGATGAATGATGTGAGAAGTTGCTGCCTTGTGCATGCAATCATGTGACGACAAAAAAATTGTATATGATTGCATGATTAAGGCAGAGATTTTCCTACAGTGGTTTTTTTAGGGCCTATGATAAGTGGAAAAAAAAACTCTAACTGAAATTTTTATATAGTTAGATGGATAGCATGTATCTTAAGGATATCATGGAAGTACAGTAAATTAAGTCAATTTGATGAAAAAGCCTGAAAAAATTAGTAGGTGAGGAAAATTACCAGTTATATGTGATTGCAGGTAAAATTGTCATTCAAACGAATATTAATAAAAAATGTGAAACAATTGATGTATAAAGATTATTATTGAAAGTATTTAGTCTTTGTTTAACAATTTAATACTATAGCTTGCTATCATTAATGTTTAAAAAATAGTCTGCACAATACAGATTTAAAACCCTTTATGTCCTTAGCCTGAGTTAACTTGGGCAGTTTACATAGTGTTACAGTAAAAATGGGTCTTAAGGGTTATAACTTTTCCAAAAATGCATGAACCAGCATATATACATTGTTATCTATCACCTATGGAAATTTCGTGAATTACTTTTGCTGCAAATAATTTTTTATAATGTGTTATTAATTAGCTAATTAATTGCGCTTTTGTTTTTTTATGGGATTTTTTTTATCAAATTAATTAAATCGTTCTAAACTTCTATTTGACCGATTTGACGTTGGTAAAATTTTTTAAAATACTATTGGATGTTTTTTATAACATCAGCAGATTTTTTTGTTTTTTATTCAGTAGAATTTTTACATATAGCTCTTTTCGATCCCCCATATTTTAATAGCATAAAAATTGAAAATTTTCTGTTATATTTGAATAGATGTGGTAAACTACTTCCCCACCTGCTTTAAACAGATTTTCTCACGGCATACATATAAACAGCCTGGAAAAGCAGTCACCAGCTGTTCTCAAGGTCAACCTGTTTGGAAACAATGTAGACTGCATGTGTGAATTTTCATGCAGTGTCAAATGGAAGAATAACAATCCCTGCAGCTATATTTATCAAATAAAATAAACTAAAAAAAATGCTTTTAAGTTTTTTATATAGTTTTGCTATAAAAACACATTTTTCGAGGTATTTATTTCATGGCAAATTTTTTGGCTGTCAGATTTATTTTTAAGTGGAAATAATTATTTAATATAAAAAAATCAACAGATTACATAATTTTCTAAGCGGAAATTAATTAGGCCTCAAGAACTAAAAAAGTTAAACTGATATAAATTATACTATCCTATTTTGCATAAAAAACAAAACAGAATCACTTTTATTCTGTTTTGAACAAAGGTAATTTTTAAATTCTAAATTAAAATTAAATTTTTACCTTATAATAAATAGCAGAAGTCAATGCTGATTTTACTTGAATTGCAGCTACTTCCATCATGTATTCATAATGAAGTTCAAAGAGTTGTGAAATTACAAGTGAAAGATAATAAGATATAGCAAATAAAATTCCATGCCAAAGATAATCTTGACTTTCTATAAAATCTAATAAAAGACTAGGGAAGAAAAACTTAATATAAGTTATTTGCAAAGTTCTACAATTTAAAATTAAGTAATTATCATGATTATTGTTTTTCAAAAGAAAAGAGTTAAAATAAACTAGAAACTAAACATAATTAAAAAAAACAAATTTCATCAGAAATATATCAAAATAGTAAATTACTCAAATATTTTTTATGATAATTGTTAAATATTTTACAACAACTCAAATAAAAATAATTTAATATATTTTAACTGACTTGTATAACTTTCTCTCTCAAGGAGTAAGTTAAAGTCTACGGATAGTAACTTCAAATTCATAAAATTTAAACAATGCATGTTAGTTGTTAGAAATGTGCAATAAAAATTTCTCTGTTTATATAATATAATTTATATATTTGAAATAAGACAAACAATTTATATTTGTAATTGTTAAAATAAATCACTTATATAATTCAAACATTCATGATTTTGAAGAATAACTAATCTCATCTATTGTATTCCATCTATATCTATTTATATCTATTGCATATACATATATATTTAATTAATCTAATTTTAGTTTACATATTAATTTTTAAAAATCTTACTGTAAAAAATATGGTGAAAGAAAACTGCTGAACACAAACAATATGTTTAAAATTGCACCAATAAAAAATGGTTTTATACAAATCCTAAATAATGCTCGAAACAATGATCGTTTTATTACTTTATGTTCTAATGGTTCTGCTGTATCATCATCATCATCAAAAAGTCTTACATTTTCTTCAGGCTCTTCCATTACTTTAATACTATAAATAAATTATAAATTATTATTATTATTGTCTTACAGTAAAAAAATGAATAATACATATAATGTTTTCATGTTACGATTATAAGACATTTTATTCCAATAATATGTTTAAATTAATTAAAAATCATTATTTATACTTTGCAATTTAAGTAAAATATTTATAAGATCAATAGTATAACTTGTAATATAGATGAGATTTATAATTTTTAACAGTAAGCATATGCAATATAAATCATAATTTCTTTTATACTATTTAAACTCCATAAATTAAAAGTGGCAAATGCAAATGACAAATTTGCTTACATTGGCATTAAATGATATCTTATATATTGTTAATCTGGATTTGGTTCACAAAATTAGAAAAAGTTAGAAATTGTAGTAACAAATTCAGATTTAAAAAAAAAATAAAAAATTTCAATTAAGATTATTCTTATTAGATCAAGTTTATAATCCTTCAGCATTCGTTCTCCATCACAAAGAATCAGTTTTATTATTTGTAAAGAAAATTCAACAGCAATAATTGTAAAGAATTGTAAATATACTTGTATTACAGAAAGTCCAGAAAAATGCAAACACATTTGTACATTATTAATTGCTTATAGTTTGAGCTAACAAAGACTAGTATGCAAATTTATTGTCACAAGTCTACAATTAAAAGATTCATTGAAGTGAGAATTATGGTGGAAAAAATAGAGGGGTCCCCAAAAGAAGCTGTGCAGCCACAATAAAAACACATTTTATAAACACTCTGAAACAAATCAGTAATGAATTTATAATAAAGACAGAATTTGGGTTGGATGTGAGTCAGGACATGATATGGAAAGTCATCAGAAAGTCTGAAAACATCAATTGCGGATAAAATTAAACACTGCTCAACAGTCTATGGAAGTAAATGTAAAATATGCGAGTTAAAGATAAAATTTTTGAAAAAAAATGGAAAAATTGTTAATGTCATGGGTGGATGATGAAAATCAACAAAACATTCCCTTGACTCAAGCTGCTATAACTGAAAAGCAAAATCAATTTGTGATAATCTTAAGGAAACAGATGGAGGCAAAGAAACTTTTTTGGGAAGAAAGGATTGATTTATAAGATTTAAATTCCAAAGTAACTGCCACAGTGTAAAATTATGCAATGAAGCAGCACGTGCAGATGTTGTGGTGCTTTTCCTAAGGAATTTCAGGGTTATGTAGAACAAGGCAACTATTCTCCAGACCTAATCTTTAACGTTGATGAGACTGGGCTTTATAGGAAAAAGTTACCAGCACAAACTTTTATTTCTCATGAAGAATGTTCCACCCCAGGTTTTAAAGTTGCAAAAGATAGATTAACTCTTTTGTTGAGAGCCAATGTTTCAGGAACTTTGAAACTTAAATCAATGTTAGTGTATCATTGCTTTAGAGAGTCTAAATAAAGACATGTTGCCAGTTTATTCGAAATGGAACAAAAAGCTTGGGTCACACAAGATGTTTTCACAGATTGGTACACAAGTTATTTTTGCTCTACTATGCTTCACTTTTGTGAAGAAAATAAATTACCACCCAAGACACTTCTTCTCTTGGACAATATTCCAGGGCATCCTCAAAACCTTGATCAAATTAGAACACCATTAGATGTCAAGGTTGTTTACATGCTTCCCAATACAATATCTCTTTTGCAACCAAGGAGTTATTTCTTCTTGATCTTTTGCAATGGATCAAGGAGTTATTGCAACCTTCAAAGCTTATTATCTCTAATACATTCATGGAAATGATGAGAGTTTTAGACACTTCACACAAAACAATTAAAGACTATTGGCGGTCTTTTGATATTTTAAAAGGCATTAAAAACATCAAGTCAGCTTGAGATGAATTTTCAGCAAAATACTTAAATGGAGTTTGGCATAAACTTCTGCCAGCATTCATGCACAATTTTGAAGTAGCACATCAAGAAATTTAATTGAAGACATTACCAGACTTGCACGTGATGTGGGATTAAAAGATGTTACAGCTGAAGATGTGACAGAACTTTTGGAAGCCCATGATCAGCCACTCACGAATGAAAACTTAGAAGAATTATACAAAGAATTAGATTGTGAACAGTCAGAGAAGAAAGAAAACAAAAAAGAAACTCCAAGAGTTATGAAAATGGCTGATCTAAAGTGTATCCTTTCAACTATGGAAAGTTTGACGGATGAACTTTGTGAGTTAGACAACAATTGGGAGTGAAGTCAAATGTAAAAAGGAGCATCATTGCATCCATTGACCATATTCCAAAATTCTTAATGAAAGAAAACAAAAATCTAAACAATTAAAGATAGATACTTTTTCCGAAAAAATGTAAGAGATATGGAAACTTTGAAATATCATTTGTATTTCTTAAGATTTTTTAATAAAAACATTATACTTTATTTTATCATAAAATACATTTTAAAAATTAAATTTATAATTATATATATTTTGCGTTATATTACATTAATAAACAAAATTATTTGCTTATTTTTCACTTACGTAGAACCTAACTGTATACCTCAATGTAAATATGGGTCATTTTACACCAATTCGATTTGTGCCAGCTTTTGTAGGAATGGAACTGCGGCATAAACCGAGGGCTACCTGTATTTATTGGCACAATCTTTGAAAATGGATTAAAAATGACAATTTAATTTTAGAAAATCTTGTGAAATCAATGCTTAAACAAGTAGGAGATGTAATTTACAATTATGGTGGACATATTAAGTATTGATAACAATCACAAGTGTAAAAATGTAAGTTGTAAAGAAGATTGTAAGCAATTTTTGTAATTACAGTAGAGTGTTGATTTTCCGAATCAATTGGGGACTGGGATTGTCCAGATAACTGATATTTCGGATAACTGATTTACGTACGAAAAAATAGTTTAACGTATCTGATGTCAAATTTTTATCTGTTGCGTGTCGCTTTGCGTTGAATTTTCGTCGATGTTAAACCTAACAAAGACTATTGTATTGTTAAAAATTATTTTTTTTATTTTGTACAAACAAAATAAATATATTTAAAAATATAAAAATAATAAAAAATTATACTTCAGATGTTAATTTAGTATCAAAAACGTAAAATATTTGAGTAACCAAGACATAGCCAAAGATTGAAGCGCCACAGCACTGGCGAAAATTTAAATTTGCCGACTGGAATTCTTTCAGATGATTGACGTTTCGGATGATTGACTTTTGGAAAATCGACACTCTACTGTAATTGAAAGCATTGTTAAAAATTACTGGAAGTGAAAGCACTTTTATTTATAGTATTTTGAAAAGTGAAATGTTTCTTAGTAACTAATTGTACATTCTTTTACATGTACTTTTGTAAGACATTAGAATCTACAATAAAGCATTGAAAAATTACACAAGTCTTTAAGACTTGTATAAGGCTGTAGATCTAATATTTTCTTTCACATTTTTAAAAACCCTTAAAGCACTGTACTTACAGCATAATATCTGAATAGTAATTCTAAACATACAAGTAAATATGATTATAATAAATATATAATTAGCTAACTTAGAATTAATTGGTAATTCTAGCTTAACTGATTAAAAATTTAAAAGATATCATTTTTTATATATGATAAAATATGAATTTATATAAATTCAAATGCACTATTACAATAATGAGTCAACTAAATTTGAAAGTGAAAGCTAGCAGCTTAAAAGTGAATTCGTAATGTAAAATATGTGTGTATATATTTATATAAATTAATTTTACTTACATTTTTGGTTGCATCCAAGTTATTTTACAGAAAGCTTTATTAAACATTTTAGATATAAGTTCTGTATGCAGATCAGGACATAATGGTAGTAAATTATTTATTTGAAGTTGATTATGATAACCTTTCATCAAAATGCTATTAAAAAAAACTAACAATAATTATAAAATTCAATTTAATTTTCATTCATAAATATTAAGTTACTAGCCTTTTTGTCCAGAAAAATGTAATGTAAGAAAATGGAGAAACATTTTTTAGAGGACATATATTCTGAAAATTTGAATAATTAGTATTATATATTGGTATCTTAAATATATTACTATTAAAATAAAATACATACTTTGGAATCTCCAACTACTTTTTCAGGAAAAAGGGACAGGATAAATTGTATTGTAACAAGTAATGATTTTCCAGAGAGGCTTGTTATTAAAATAGTGTCAATTTTATCTGACTAATAAAAAAATTTAAAAAATAAAATTACATCATTATATTATATGGAATATTTTATTATTTAGAATACAAAATTTTATGAAAACATTATCACTTGAACTAATTTTAAAATACATTTATTTCAGATAAATCAGTTTCAATAAATCTTTAAAATGCTTTAGGAATATATTTATCCATTTTCAAAATCTCATATAAGTAAAAAAAAATATTTCACAGATTTTTATAAATAGATGGATAGATGTATCATATTACTAATAAAATTAATTGACATAAAACACAGCATATGTTTGTTAAAGTAATTAGATATAACTTTAAAATATTTTTGAAAAGTTCTCTCATCATGGGCTATATATATATATATATATATATATAAACATTTATTTATTGATTATTTTAAAATATTTTGTAGTTTAATTCTATTTTTTTTCTTTTGTTATACAAGTAAAATAATCTCTAAAAATAAAAAAATAAAAATAATAATAGTTACATTTGTGTTTCATTAATTTAATTAAACTAAATTAAAATTTAATCCCATCCATTATTAAATTATTTTTATCAATAACAATGATTTGACTTGGTACAAACTCAATAAAGTTAACATTTTCAGTCTGAACAGAAAAAAATCTCCCTAAAGAGTGAAATTACAAGATACTCTTGAACATAAAGAACTTCAAAAATTATTATTATTCTTATCTTTCACAAATGTAGTATAAAAAAAAAATCAAAATTAATTGATAAAGTACTGTATATGCTAAGTATTGTTTGATCTGGTTTATGAACTTTTTTGCAGGAGATATGCAAAGACAAAAACAAGCAAATAATAGACAGTTTTAAATTAACTTTTTTCAATTGCTTTATCAAGTTTCATTTTATTTCATAGTAACAATTGTTCTGTATTGATGCAAAAAGTTAGTTTTCCATATGTTATTACAGAGTTTTATAAAATGTATAGTATACTATTGCATCATTTTCAACTGTAAATATAAATTAGCTTTGAATGTTTAATGTAGTGGCAAACATTTTAAAATAGATAAGGACAAAATGTGTATGCAATGATAAGTTAAAGAGACACATGCTGTGTTAAGCAAGGATATATAATTAATTTTTTGTGATTATAGTTTACTATGTATTATAATCACATTATTTCAAAATGTTACAATACAGGTAAATAACAGTTATTTATACACAAATGAGTGTTTTCCTGTGAAAATAAAAATTTCAATGTTTACAATGCCTCACAATCAGTCCCAAAATCACTTCTAAATTCTCCCCATAAAAGAAAAAAAATACTGTGTGAGAAATTGATAATAGATTTAATTTCATATTTCTTTCAGTACATTCTTTTATTTCAGAAAATGAAAAAGCCAATGTAAAATCAAAACCTATATCTAAAGACAAATTTATTTAAAATAAATGATTTATTCCAAAAATCTTTTAAAGAATAAATCCATATTTATACAGTTTTTAAATGAAGCTCTGTGTGTTCAAATATAATAAATTAATCATTTAGTGTTATTCTTAAAATGATTGGGTTAAATAATGTTTATACAGTATTTGTATAATAAATTAAAATTAACCAAGCCATTTTTCCCCATCTTGTCATCAATATAAATTTTATTTCCTCTGTTTTCTAACAATAACTAGGCTTAGGAATTTTAAATATTACCTAAAAAAAAATGAATTGTTTGACACTGATTTATATTTTTGTAACTATGGTTTTCTTGAAAAAGTAGAAAATATCATATCAAATATCAATTTTTATGAGAATGAAAGACTAACATTATGATTGGAAATTTTAATGAAATGTAAAAAATAATAATAAATTGCCTCATCCATCAGAAAAACTTTAAAAATAAAAACTTGTACAATATATTTTTAGCTTAAGTAAAATTTGGAAAAATAAATGTCATCTTTAAATTTTACTTTGAATAAATTCACCAATTGTTAAAATTTTGAAAGGATTACACAAAAAGCATAATCTATCAGCCATTATTTATATTTTTGTAGAGTAAAAAAATTATATGAAAATTAAAATTAATTAATATGGTTATATGCAAGATCAGAGAAAGATTAATCTATCTTATTTTTCATGCTGTGTGAAATTGGGGAAAAATAATTAAATAAATTTTCTTGTTTGGACAAAATTGTCCAAAAAATAAATTACATTTAAAAAACTCTAAAAAATCAATTATAATAATTTATGATAATTATTCATATAAATATTATAATATAATTCTTTTTTGTGCACTATGATTAGCTAATTGTAGAAATATGCTGAAGCATGCTTGACTGTTTTGGCTAAAAGATAGCTACCAAAATGGCATTGGTCACTTTCTCTCTCTATGCTGGCTCTTTAATGTTTGGCAGCTTTATTTTCATGCTATTCTGCATATATACAGTAACTATTCATTTTAATGCTACATCATGATGTTGTCTTAAAAAGGAATTTTAAATGTTAACAAACATTTAATTTAAACTTAGTTTTATCACTAAAACTCATTTGAATTAATGTGATAGTTGAGTAGTATAGCTGGAAACATCTATTATTGGTTCTTAATGCATCATATGGTTCACTTATGATAACCTCTGATTGTTGTTCGTTTGAATTGTGAATGTAGGCACATCTTTGTTTCAAATAAGTAAAAATATTTTTACAAATGAATGGATAAATAAGTAACTTAGTACAAAGAAAGCAATATCTGAAGATAGAAATCAAAAATTTTTAAAATTATTATAACCTGGATATTATTTACCATTTCAGAAAATTAAAATATGATTAAAGAGGTGTGATATATTCATTACCAAAAAAGTATCATTTTATGGAAAAGATTTAAATAATAAAATATTTATTGTAGGCATATTTAATCTAATATTATATTATTTAATAAAAAAGTTGCTTACTGAATGATCTATTTGAAGAATAGCTGAATATAACTGCAGAATAACAGAAAGCATTTCTAAAGTCCAGAATCCAGAAAGTAACAATGATGTTCCAATTCCTTTTCTTCTTGCAAGTAAAGTAAGAATCAGAATCAAACACTGAAATAAATAAATAATCTTAAATTATTTTTAAATTATATATCTTATTCAAGAAATAAACATTGTTTTCTAAAGTCAGATAATATTTATTACATTTGATTTTACAAAAGTAACATTTGTTAATTATNTGCAGCTATATTTATCAAATAAAATAAACTAAAAAAAATGCTTTTAAGTTTTGCCAAAATTTGTTACATATTATTTTTCTTAACATAAAATGTTTAATTTTTACATATCAAATTTTTAAAGACTATTAAAAACTTGTCTTTTATATTTTTATAGATGTTAAATTTCTTCAACTTTCTTCAAAAAATAAATAATAATAAACATAGGACAAAACTCAATAAATATATTGTAATTGTCTTTGTATTTACTTACAAAAGAAGAAAATTCAATAATAGGAGCACTCAATTCAGCACCAATTAAAGGCAAACCTGAATTTACATTTTGTGTAATTTCTATAACATCAACTATAGACAGAAGAGCAAGAAAAATGTTCAAAAGCTGAAAAAAATAATATCAACTATTAAAGAAATGTTAAAATTATATTTAAAAAGTAAATTATATCATATTATTCAATCATTTTTCAATATTATCAAAAATACTATATTTAAAGAAAAAATAATTGTATAATATACTCAATGAAAGACTCATCTTCTAATTTTAAATTATAATCCTAGAATTAGCTATTGTATAAACAAATGCCAAATATAAATTTTAATAGAAAAAAAATAATCTTTCCACAAGAGTATAAAATATTGGTTGTATGGTAATAGATTTAATTTTTTAAATATGTTTAAATGCTTCAAATTGCTGTTTTTATTAATTAAACATAAGTAAAATACATATTGGTAACATTTAATTTCATGAGGGATGAAAATTTCTTAGGTGTATTTCTTTATTTTAAAAGTTATAGTTCTGTATTATTATTGTGCAAAATTTGAGAACAGTATCAGTGGCAGAGATGGAAAGATGATTACAACTGAAATTATAATCACCAATTTGCTAATGATTCTTGATTTCATCAACCATCAACCAATGGTTCTTGATATGACATTGAAATATGTTATTATAATTCATTATAATGAAATAATTTGTGAGAATTGGTTATCTTTTACAACAGATTTAACTTATTTTGTTCTCTAAAACTGTTTTTTACGTTTAAAATAATATGGCCAATCTGTCTAGAATAGACATTTGTATTTCATGTTGCTTTTAAAGATTGATCTTAAAATTCAATTATGTTTAGATTTCTTGCTTGTTCTAAAAAAATGTTCAACTTGATGTGATATTTTATCTTCTCATCAGTTATGAGAATTATATGTATCAATAACAATAATTATATCTTTTCAACTCTGCCTTCTGTAATTTTTTGCTAATGACTTGATCTTAAATTGCAACCATAAACCTTCATATCTCAAACAAATCTCTACAAATAATCAGGAATATAATGCTCTTTATTAGATATGGGATGCTGAAGTTTTTATTACTGTTTTTCACATTTTGCAACTATAATTTCTATTATGTTATCTATAATAACATGCATGGCAATACTATTATCTCAAATGTATTAAATATATTTGCAATCTACAAAACATTGAACTGTATAACAATAAAGAATATTTGATGAAAAATATTCCTATCATATTATTTTCTGTTGCTTGCATAGAATCTTCACATTTAAAGTATGAAGTAATTGAAGTATGAACTAATTAATCTATCAATAAAAATTTTTAAATGATATTTATATTTTATCATTATTGCTCTCATTTTATTTTGGAAATATATTAATTTTGTAATTATTTTCTAGTTTATAAAACTGAAAATATTCATGTAATTAATGTTTAATTTATCAGTTTTATATTATAAAATATGAAAACAAGAATATTAATTGGACAAAATAATTAATTTGTTCTTTAAATTCTATATGACTAATTTGTCATTCAAAAAATTAAAGAGTAAATTTTGAATTAGAATTTTGACAAAAAAACTGATATCAAAGAATTATTCCATTCAACCAAAGTTACACTCCCTAGCCTAATATTAACACAATTATCCTAATATATGCTGTATAACTGCATTATTCCATTCCTTAATATATAAAAATAAGTTAATTTAGTTTTATAATTTATTAAATAAATAGATTAAAACAAATATTTGGAATGTTAATTACAATTTTTCCCATACTGTAGAAGGTCCATGAATTCTGACATGATTGACTAGATGTAATTTTCCATAATTCTAAAGGAAATAACAACCACAGAAAACCACAAGGTATCCATACTAATACTGTGTTAAAAAAACATGGTGTGAAATTAGGAGTTGTAGTATTCCAAGTCAAATTTTGGACCTAAATAAAAATGAAAATGTAACAAAATTAAAATTTATACTTATTAATATATAAATAAAAAACGCTAGTAACATATTAAATACTTATCTACTAGAAGCATTCTTATTTCTATTATAAGCAAGTTAATCGTGATTAAAAAAGTTTTAAATTGACAAAAATTTATTGAATCATTAATTGGTTATTAAATTATTAATTTGAAAATTTGATGTAATAGATAATCATATTGCATCTGTTGATAACTTTTATAAGTAATTGATTTAAAATGATAAATTTAAAAAAATTTGAAAAAACAATTCAGAGTGAGATATTCTCATTTCAATATTTGACTAAGTTGTCATTATGATACAGTTAATTAATTCAATAGCCAATCAATTATTCATTAAATTTTAGTAAATCATTGATGTTTGATATCATTAATTAAATTAGTAATTAAATTGTCTAATTGGCTAATTTATACTTTAATAAACAGTCTGTTTAGTTTCACTTATCAATGTAAAAAATTATTTCACTGATTATCATAGTCAATAATCTTTCTTGTTAATATCCTTGCCAATAAAAAACAACAGAGAAAGAGTAACAATTAACAAGAAAATAGTTTTAAAAGGAAAAAAAAGGTTATATAATTTAAAGTAAAACTTAATTAACAATGAAATACATTCACATCATTAACAATTGCCACAGTGTTTAATTGAATAGTCACATAAAAGCATCCAAATGGCAAAAAGAGAATGAATTGTACCATAAATAAAACTTGATCAAGTTTATTAATAAGTTATTACAGTAGCATTATTAATGTAAATAAAAATAAAATAAAATCAATATGATTAGCATGTTAACAATCAAGGTTTTTATTTTCAGTTTTCATTATACAGGTATCAATCATACAACATAGTACTTCTATAACACTGTTTGAAAATTGGGGATATTCCCTCTAAAACACAACTTCCAGTTTCACTCTAACATGATTTTGGAAATCCTCCATACAAAATTTCTCAATTTTTAAGTGTAAACTTCATTATTCTTTATTTCTTTTTATTCAAGTAAGCATGCATGCATGTCTCAAATTTATCCATGAATTTTAGAATATTGAAATTTTCAAATTATTTTGTGCCTTTTGTCAGGTTTACTTTAATGAAAACTGATAATACTATTTTTTTATTCCTTGTCCTAACTTTCCTATCAACCAGGTGTCGTTTTGCTTTCAGACTTTATAAAAAGAAAACATGTCACTGTCTTCTTTTTATAGATTAATCTTTGTATTTAGTAAAATTTATTTAAAATTTTTAGATAAATGTTATTAAACTTATTTTTAACTGTAGGTAAGCAATCATTCATAAAATAATGAACAAAATACAGCAGTACCTTGGTACTTGAACACAAATTCTGGAAGAAAGTCGCTCAGTACTCGACTGAACAAACATTACCCACTAGACAAATTTTTGATTAATAACATATTTTCATTTCATTGTCCATAAAAATTTTTTATGATAAAAATAAAAAATATGAAAATGTTGCTGCTATTTCAAATCAACAAAAGAACTTAGATGACAATTATACTTTGTAAAAAAGAAAACACCCTTGTTTAACTAAAATTAGTATTAATGTGTCATACAGTACTTTTAATTGTGATTATTAGTTATTCATTCATTGAAAATAAATTATTGATTGCTTTAATAAACATATTTCTCTTAGTAACGAAAAAAAATAGTATACTTTTGCTAAATTCTGGAATGTAACCCTATGTTTTGTATTAGTCCTTTGTTTTGTATAGCACAGATTCACATAACATAGAACTTTTTGGAAACATAACTACCATGTTACACAAGAGATACCGGTATTAAATTTCTATCAAAAAACGGTAATAAACAAAATAGTAATAATCTATTAACAAACAAAATTTAAATGTGACATTATATATAAAGTTTCCTTTCAAACATAATATTTAAATCTTAAGTGAAAATATAGAGGAGTCACATAAAAAACAAGAAAAATTACAAAATTATGTTTCATTATAACATTAAGAAGAAAACCTAATCATTGTATAAAAGTTGTACAAATATAGTATAACAAATTAATATTAAAACATTAGCTTCATGACTATATTAGAAACAAAATTATATTACTTAATGCTTTATACAAATCACTAAACTTCAATAAAATGAGAAACATTTTATTTTATAAACAACTTTTACAGTTTTTTTTAATAAGAAATTTCACTTAAAATGAATATGAGAATTAAACAACCATATTTTTTATGCTTCATATTTTATTATTATTATTTTAACCTAAGCTATAGAGTTCAAAGATTAGTTTTAGTAAAAGAAATATTTCAGATATTAATTCATTTTGTATTTATCAAATTATGCAAAATTCAGGTTTAAAAGAAAGATATGATAAGTGTATTTCCTGTACTGGGAAAAAATATAAAAGTTTATAAAAAAACTATCTGCTAGGCTATTACCTAAGGATGCAAAAGACACACCAGATAATTTGAGAGCACCATGGGTGTACAGCGTTCCAATCAGTGACCATAGATTCCAGAGAGATTTAGTCTATATTGGATCAACCAAACGATCGGTACAGAAAAGAATCATGGAACACAAATGACAGTGACAAAAGAACTGCCATGTCAACATACGCAACGGTTCCTGATGTACGAGCTGACTTACAAAACACCAGTCTCATCAGAAAATCATTCCAGACAGACCACATCAGGGCCCTGAAAACCCTCAAAATTTACAAAGTAAGCAGGTTGGGAAATTGTATAAATTTCACAGACAATAACACAATATCATATGCGTGGAGATATGAATGTGGAGAGCAACTCCACTAATAATTACATATTATTTCCATAAGGATGAACTCCTGCATTAATATACAAATATGGGGGCTTTTGGCTATACATTATTTCTATTACATTAATTCAAATCTTTGTTCTTAATTCCATACTGATTAAAATTAATTTTGTATTCAAAACATTTGAAATCATGGCATTCCATATTTGGAACGATACTGAACCTAAAGCAGATCTTGATAAAGGATCAAAAATGTTCATTCATTTGGTGTATGCATATCTTACCAGAAATCTAAAGATTTAGAAATGATATTTATCTGATAGGCTATTATCTGAGCTGTAGAAATTGTTAAAACAAACTGCTTCAAGTTATATCAAGGGTTACTGAAAGTTTTACACAACATGACAGTGCTATAACACTCTGTCAAGCACACAGTGCAGAGTTAATGATGCAGGTTAGTCTGTCCTTCTTTCTCAGACAAGGCTGAAATTATTTAGTAAATTTGACATTGATAAAGTAAAAACATTTTAAAAATAATAATAGAAATCATGTAGCAGTATTTAATTATTATGCTTACTGCAGTTTCAAAATTTTATGGATAGAAAATCATATATGTATACATACAGTCTATATTTTTTCAATAACTCAAAAATATATAAAAATAAGTAATTTTTATTTATAATATTTATTTTTTATTTTGTGTTCATACTATATGTAAACATATTTCAAGTTTTTCACGTTATTATAAATATACAGTGATCTATTACAGTAGAACCTCGATTATCCGACTCAATTGGGGACTGGGGTTGGTCGGATAATTGAAAAGTCGGATAACCGAAAAGTATGAAAAAATCCATTATTAGTGTAGTATATTATTATATCCCATGTAATTAGTATATTAGTATATCGCTATTAACCTACTTCATGTTGAATTTTCATCGATGTTAAGCCTAACAAAAATTTTTTTAAATAATAATCGTCGCTATTGTATCATTAAAAATTAGAAAATTAAGCCTCGTTTAAATACTGGCTCCCTTTCATGGTCGAATGAGTGTTGCCAGCTAAAACACGTAAAAATAATATTAAAGTAGCCAAGACATAGCCAAATATTGTAGCGCCACATCACTAGCGGACATTTGAAATTTGCCGACTAGGACGGTCGGTTAACCGAGGTGACGGTTAATCGAGAGTTGGATAATCGAGGCTCTACTGTATATACTAAAATTTATTTGCATATTGTACTCAGAATAATCAAATGACCTTTTTCAGAAGTATGAATACAAATAATAGAAGTGCCATTCTTCTGGAAATATACTATTACAGTTCTACAAAGAGTATTCCTCAAATTGCACTATAATTTTCCATCTAAATACAACAAATTTCCAAAGAGTTGCAACAGAAAATATAGTAGCATCCATGGAAATTTTATCACTTCCAACATATGCCAAAAAACATTCAACAGATGTGCAATGTAGCATATTTAAACCATATCACATTTTTATAACAACAAATGGCACAGAGTTGTCTTGAAAGATACAAGATTTTGTACCATGAAATTGTTTCTTGATTGTTAGAATTAGCTTGGTACATAAAATGTTTCAGTGCCGCTATTATTAGAGATCCATATATAGTGTTTCTGTCAACAACTTTACCAAATATGCATTCACACATCATTTGACTCACCAGAAACTTCACTATCTGCATCAAACAATTCCTATATAGGTCTTGCCTTTTCCTGACTAACATAGGGTTTGCCATCAGATCTGAACAGGCTAATTTGAATTCATTCAAAAATATAACAGTCTCACACATTAACACTCCAGTCCACATGCTGTTTAGCCCAGATAAGCCACTATCTGTGCATTTTACTTGTTGGTAATGACTTCTTACTTGGTTAAAACTCATGTTGCACAGACAATGGCACACTATTTGTGCATCCACTTTTATACCTGTCTACTTTTCCCACTCCTTATCTTGCTTTTCTTTTGTGTTTACATCAACTTTGTAACAAATGCACAATTGCTAATTGATAACAATATACTCTTTGCAGTATTTCACAAAAGAATAAATCTTTAATCAAAGCAACAATTATGGACTTTTTAAGCTGTATTAACTGTTAAAATTTTCCATTATGCATATAAAAGTGCACCATCTTCACACAAACTTTTATACAGTAATACCTTGACTTACGCTAACCCGACTTAA